CTTAGCGATACACTTAATCTCAATACTCGCGCTAAAACAACACTGTAACGAACGAACGTTAACTTCAACAATACCCTGTGACTGCAGTTCAATTACTCACTATCTACGCACACATTACATTTCCCTCTTTTATATACCAGCCTACCCTATATCCAGTAATTACTAGAGCATTCGCCAAAGTACATGATAGTTCTAGAAACGTTGCGTCACAGTAGTCACGTGACTCGCTGACGCAACAATATTACAAAAGTGCCACCCTTATACGGAACTCGTACCAGTTAAATTCAAGGGACTTCTTCCACTTTTCAAATACGTCTTATACTAAATTTTAGCACAAGGCAAGCTTATAAAGTTCCATAATGAAAAAGTATCACAAAGGATTATAAAATATTTCTTAAAGATGTTGAAATCAACTTCGAAGCTCAAGTGTTTTAGAGCTTAGAAGTACTCGAGCTTTTGGGTTACAAAGTTACATGTTGTAACATTTAAAATGCTTCTTGTGTAATAATTATTAGCGGCTAACACGTGTGTTGTAGCTTAGCTATGCCACTGTCACGGTGTGTCAGCATGTGTTGTTATTAGTCAGAGCACAGGCTATAGTTAATATAAGGTTTTTTGATTGTTTTGATGGTTGAGTGGGGGGGGGGGTTGCTTCGAATCTTCAACGGACAGAAGTTTCGAAAATTGAGTGACCTTCCCAAGTCTTAAGTTTTAGAACTTCTAAGTTATATCATTTCTGTTTGGATTTTGTAACGCCCTAAATAGGTTACTAATACTCAAAGTCCGATTCAAACTGTGAATGTGATGGTTATACTGGTGGTCAGTGCCTAAGCATATGTTCGAATAATATGCTATTTAAATTTAAAACTAAATATCTGATATTTACAAGTTCAGTTCTAAGCTGTTTTACGTTAACTTTAAGTTTTAGCAATAAATTTCATGAGTTCTTCAGTGGGACAGCAGTAAGTTAACGGACTTACAACGCTAAAATCCGGATTTCGATTCCCAGTGAGATGACAGAGCAGATGGCCCAATGCGGTTTTGCTCTAAAACAAAAAACTTTCTTGATGAATACTTAGGTGAACAGTTAACTCTTTTTTTTCCGTAACACAACAAAATCTCTTCACACTAACCCTTCTTTCTTTGGTCAAGATAAGGCTTAACTGTTTTAGCAACTCACTAGATGGCACTATCGATGCTCCGTGTCAGACGTTCTGTAAGCCCAGTACAAAATGTTCAGTGTACTCTCCTAAGCCTAGTGTTAGGTTATGTCGAATATTTCGTGCAAATTAAATTTGGAGATTTGTTGTATGTTATATCAATTTTTTCTACAGAGCACTTTCCATGGGGGCTGAATCTGAAGTATTCAAATAGCAAGTATTATTGTTTTATCAAAAGTTTAATTAGTTTTGTAATTATGTAAAGCATGTGGCCTCAATACTTAAGTTGAAATAATTTTAATTTATCGTAAGCCTAAAGCTTACGAATGTGGGTTCCTTGGCTTGAGTCTTGACTCAAATTCAAAAGTCAAGGGCTACATGTGGCGGTACTAATTTGATTTTAGGATTTATTTTTAAGTGTAAACTGCCGAATAAATATTATAATTGAATTTTAAATTTATATTTTAATTATAATTTCGAAAATAATATTCGAATTTTATTTTGCAAAATTAATTATGCAGATCAATTAAAATTAGAAACTTAGTTTACTTGCCCGATTACAATTCATAAATTATTGCATGAAATAAACCTGAACCTCAGGATAGTTCTTGAAGGTCTTTTTGCATATAAGTTATTAATTGACCAGTAGACCTAGGTTGATGTGAAATTAATACTTAAGTGCTGTATTTACTGTGTGCATTACATATGTCATTCATCGTAATCAGTTTTTCCTTGAGAAATTACTTTGTTGGGTTTATTGAATTTGATTAATAAGTTATATAAGGTTCTCTGATGAAACTTGTGTATTGTTTATATATGTAATACTAACTGTACATGTGTGGAATAATGAGTCATTGTGGTGGAGGGCAGATTTAATAAATATATTGCTTTTAAATTTAATTTAAGATAGCTATGTCATTAAAGACAGGAAAAGGACAATAGGGAAGATCAAACACAACTGGCTTACTAAAGATATAAAGGAAAAAGTGAAGGAAATATACCATTTAAGTTTCAGAAATTTAAATTGATAGATACATTGGAAAACTTATAGAACTGTAGGAAATCTAGGGAAATGGTTAAAAAACAAAATCATGAAATTGAAAAAGGGCTTATGAAAAACATCTGGCTGATAATGATACACCAACAGCATAGATTTTAAGTATTTTATATGTAAGCATAATGTTAGAATGTAGATTGGACCCTTGAAAAGTGCTGGTGGAAAGGTTATTGTTGGGGACTATGAGATGGCTAAGCTTTTGATGTTTTTGTCCCTTATTTGTACAAGAGAAGATATTGACAATATTCTCAACCTGGAGAAGTGTACAGAAAATATTAGAATTGTTGTGAATCATGTAGATATTAATCTCTTGGTAGTAAATGGAAAGATTGAGAGATTAAAAATAGATAAATCATCAGGAGTTGACAAGGTTTTACATTGTATTTTAATTATGGAGATCAAAGATCAGATGTGCGACTATAAGCCTCTCTTTTTATTTTCAGTAAGTAAGTAGTCAGTTGGGAAGAGCCTGATGATTAAATAGTTGCTTATGTTACTTTTAGTTGTAAAGGATGTGATAAGAGTTGTACTGGAAATTATAGGTCAGGTAATCTGACTTCTGTAGTAGGAAAAATCATAGAGTATAGTAAATGAAGTTTCACAAAATTCTTCAGGAAATACAGGGAAGGCAGAGTTCTGTTTCTGGATGGATTTCTGTCAATTGAAAACAATTAAAGTGGTAAAATAAGAAATCCAACTACTTTATTTCAATACCCAAAACTATTGGATGAATGGGTACTACAAATATATGTTTACTTTTAAACATTCAGATGAACATTTACCAATATTCAACTTTGAAGGGAATGTTCAGTATAATGAATGATATCATTGAGAGTGACCAGTCAAACTTGACCAATGAAAGTTATGAAGTAGTGTCAGTTGTTAAATACATTGCTAGTTTGCCCCTGAAGAAGAAAGGTCCACCTTTCAAAAGCGCTCGGGTTATAGGGTTTTTAATCATTTCTCTGAAAGAATGAGTTATCAGATCTTACCAGATGAAAGTAACCCCAACCATGAAGAAGGCTTGCCACACAGCCCACAAAAAGTGCAGAGAAAATCTAAAGAAGAAGCAAGAAGCTGCAGAAAATTTGAAAAAGAAGAAACTACAAGAGGCACAACTCAAATTACCTGATGCAAAGGCTAAGCAGTTGATGAAAGTTGGTATCAAAAGAAAAATGTTAGTGTCTAATGAAACACATCAAGAAAACCAGCATCACTACCATCAGCTGATGTGGTGGATTTGCCAGCAGAAGTACTTCCTTCACTCAGCATGCCATCAGCTGATGTGGTGGATTTGCCAAAAGAAGCACTGTCTCCATCCAGCAAAAAAGAGAAAGTTTTTAAACTTGATGAACTGGTTGAAATCTGTGAAAATTTGATTCATTGACATTAGATGTTTATTCATGAATTTATATATAAACTATTACAATTTTTTCATGGAATTTGAATGTGTATTTGATTTTTTTGCAGAATATTTAGAATTACATTAGAAAACTTTTGCAAATATGAATTTCAGGTCTACATGATGTGTTCACAGTTAGTGAATTTTTACATGTAAAATATATACAACTTCATAGCTGTATCTATACAGATATGTGAAACTGACTTGATATGGCTTCTAGAATGACAATATAAAATTATTACATGAATTTGGTGATAATTGTTTTTTTCCCACGTGGAATTAGAATAAGGAATACTTGGAAGCCTTAGATCTTGAGTCTCAATTCTTTTATCACATCTTGTAAGCCATAGTATTCATGAATAACTTAGATGATGTATTTGATCTTTTAACAACAAAGTTCTCTGAGCCATAAGCTCCATATAATGGCTCTGATTGCATTTCAGAGTATAAAAACTGTTCAGCTTCAAGGGAGAAAAGTCCCCTTGAAACCCCCCTGGGGCATTGCCCCTGGATCCAAATGGGGGCAATCCACCATACCCCACAGCCTATTTTGGAAGTGCTGCAGGCACTCACCTCCTCTGTATCTCCTCCCTGAGTGTTGTCAGTCAATTCAACTTCTCTCTGCTGCCATCCATGTTCAAGGATATTACTTATCTGGATGATGGAAAGGGAGTGGACTTGGTATATGCAGATTTTCAATATGGTACAACACAGAAGATTAACTAAGAAAATACATCTGTAATGGTTGGGAAAATTGAGGGTGGTTGGATGGGAGAAGGCAAAAGGTTGCTGTTAGTGGAGTCCAATGAAACTGGATCCTTGTTACTACTGGATTGTCTCATTGGGTTTGTGCTTGGTCATTGCTTTTTGTTATTTGCAGTAATGATATTGATGTGGGCCTAATTAATAAGTTAATAAAGTTTACTGAAGATATTAAACTCTTGGATATTTCTAGGTGTGTTGAGGATGTTGAATTATTACAGAATAATTGGATCAATTGATAATTTGGCTAAATTGTTGGCAACAACTTTTAATTACAGTAAGTGCAAGTAATGCATTTGGATTATCATGTTTAATATAGATGGGAACCCACTCAGTATTGGGACTGAAGAAAAGGATCTGGGCATAGTGGTGGATAAGTCACTCATCCCATTGAAGCACTGCTTTGCTGTTAGTAGTAAAGCTAAAAGAATGTTAGGATGTATTTATAGAGGTAATTATTTCTATATAAAAATCACTAGTTAGGTTTCATTTGGCATAAATACTGTGTACAGTTTTGGTTTCCTTATCTAAGAACTGATATTGATTTATTAGAAGGGTTTCAGGCTAGGGTTACTAGGTTCTTGTGATGGGTTCTCTTGCATGGTTAGGTTAAGATTTCTTATTATTTTTTGAGAAAAGAAGGGTAAGCAGTGGTAGTACTGAAGTTTTCAATGTTATTTGTGGTATTGGTAAGATAAAAGTCTGATTTCTTTATCCTATGTTATGAAAACAATATACTGAGGTGACATGAGCTTAAGATTTGAGAAAGACCAGCTAGTCTCCACTTAAGACAGTTTTATTTAATCAGACTGTGGAATTAGTTGCTGTTGGCATTATGGAGGATAGGGCTTTACAGAAGTTTAAAAGGGAATCTTATTTCTAGAAAAATAAAGGTTGGGTTTAAATTTTTGCTTTTTTCAAGGGTGGCTATGCAAGGAGAGCCTTGATGAATGACAGAAATGGTCCTTTGTGGTTTGTAAGTTATTTTCCTATTTTCATCCTTATAATATAAATACTCAGATATATCCCACATGCATTATAACCAACCCTCTTAACATGTGGATCAAGTTAATTTTGTATGCTGTTAGTTTATGCTTTGTAGTAACTAAGACTATGTCTAGGTTTCTCATCATACACAAATCTTCTAATCCTATGTGCTTGGATGGTGGTTAGAGCATGCATTCCATGACCACTTACAGAGTGCTTTTCAAAAGGGTGTTATGTATATCAGAGTTATGAATTATTCATTTTACCCTTCATTATTGATTTAGCGACAGTTCATGGTAGAAGAGAGTAAATACCAGATACAGTATATAGGGATACTGAAAAAACTGTAAATTTGGACTTTGGAGTATTATCTCCAACTTGTAATTTTAAAACTGAACTTCATTATAGGCCTTACTTAACCAACTAAGTAGATTGTATTTAGTATATAATCTATGACCAACTACTATTACTAACAACTACAACTAGGGCCAGGTCTTACTTTGGTGCAAAAAATGTGGAAACACTTTATTTGTAAATCACGTAGTTTTTTTCTTTTCTCAAAACAAATCTTACATGTTGTAAAATGGTTGGAATATATTTGGCTGTGTCAGGTGATGTTAATTCTATTCAAACAGGAAAGCCACAACATCCATCAATTTTCTGACAAGATTTTTGTATCATTACCATATGTTCAATTACAGATGGAATTGAATTAAATTATTTTTTCTCTGTTTGATCTATTACTGCACCCAATGACTCAATAAACATTCACCATTATTAATTGATTCTACTTTTAGACTTGAAAATAAGATATGTGATGGTGTTATTTTGTTATTGTTCAATCCCAAAAAGCCTGACTGATCTGATTGTTTTGTTTCCACGTGTTAGTGAGCTGGCCATAAAGATAGCAGACAAGTAATATCATCTGAAAACTATCTATACAGCTATCCAGATTATTAACATAAATTGTGAATAAGAAATGTCCAAAACCTGACCCTAAAGGGACTACATTTGTAATTTATTACAGTGTAAATGGACATTTATCACTACCTTATGCTTTTTTTAGCACAAAACTTTTTTTTCAGTTTTTAATTTTTCTTTCAATTTCACACAATTATAATTTACTAATATATAGTTCTATTTAAAACACAAGAAAGCAGAAGACCTATAAAAAAACTAATAAGTGGTTAGGCATGAAGCACCTTATTAATGCAGTATTGAATATAACATTCAATTAAAAATCTCAAGGTTCTTTTTCAAAATGGTTTTTCGTAATAGAGAAAGGTTTTCAAGCACTAAAACATTTAGAAAAATAGTGTAGTGTTGTGTTTTGAAGTAGTGTGGGTACATATGCATGTTGGTTGTATTGG